AATTTACTCTGGACCCCTGCTCCTGAGACTTGCTTACAATTTACTCAGGATCGGTGCTCCCGCCTGTGACCGCCTCGCAATTTAGTCAGGACCCCCGCTTCCATCTGAAACTTCCTCACAACTTTCTCAGGATTGGCGATCCCGGTTGAGACTTCTTCGCAATTGAATCAAGACGTCCTCGCAATTTAATCAAGACCCCCGCTCCCGCCAGAGAACCCTTCACATTTATGCAGGAATTGCGCTCTCGCCTGTGCTCTCCATGCAATTTATTCAGAAATCGCGCGTTCGACGCTCAGGAAACACGCTGCGCCAAGGACGCCGCTACAATGTACGTAGTAATCGCGCTCTCGCCATATTCAGGCATCCCGCTTGAATGTCCCACCCGCCCGACCCGCCCGTCAGGGGATCGCCCGCCCGTCGTGGGCTCCCGCCCGAGAGTTCTTTCAGGAACGGCGCTTTCGCCTAGGACTTCCTCGAACGTTCACGCTCTCACCTTCCTGCTCCTCCTCCGTCCCCCTCCTCCCTCCTCCTCTCCTCCCCTCTCTCTCCCTCCTCTCTTCCTTCATCCTTATGCCTCTGTGCCGTATCCCCTCTCCCTCCTCTCCCTCCTCCTTTTTTTCCTTCCCTCTCCTGCCTCCTCCCTCCCTTTTTTTTTTTTTTTTGTTTTTTTGTTTTTTTTGTTTTTTTTTTGTTTTCTCTCTCTCTCTCTATATATATCCCCTCTCTCTCTTCCTCTTTCTTTATCTACCTCTTTTTTTTGTTTTCTCTCTCTCTCTCTCTCTCTCCCCCTCTCTCTCTCTTTCTCTCTCTCTCTCTCTCTCTTTATCTCTCTTTCTGCCTCTAATCAACCGCCCCCGCTTTGCTCCTTCTCTCTTGGCGTTTTCCCTCTTCCTTCGTCCCTCCCCCTCCCTTCCTCCCACTCTCCCTCGTTCTCCCCTTCTTTTTCCCTACCTAGGCTCTGCCTAGAAGGGTTCTTACTCTATGGGCTCAAGGGGCCGGGCAGTGGAACCCGCCCCGGGAGGTTCCCCCAGTCCCCTGGGATAGCTTTAGCTGTAGCTTTCGTTTTAGTTTAGTTTAGCTTTAGCTTAGCATTGGTTTGGCTTTAGCTTAGCTTAGCTTAGCTTTAGCTTAGTTTTAGCTTTAGCGTTAGCTTTAGCTTAGCTTTAACTTGGCTTTAGCTTAGCTTTGGCTTGGCTTTACCTTAGCTTTAACTTAGATTTAGCTTGGCGTTAGCTTAGCTTTAGCTTAGCTTTAGCTTAGCTTTAGCTTAGCTTTAGCTTAGCTTTAGCTTAGCTTTAGCTTAGCTTTAGCATAGCTTTAGCATAGCTTTACTGTTACTACTAATGCTGCGTTCCTAGGGGCTCCAACTCCTAGGTAGGGTCGCACTGGGACAATTTGTTCCAGGGCCCACACCAATTCCAATGGTGGGTACATGTACGCCCACGTAGGATTGTCCGCCCGTTCAGGTTTGCCCGCTTGTCTAAGCCCGCCGCCCCCCGCAAAGATACATAATCCCACCAAAAGGGGTGTGATCGACGACAAAAAGGGCGGGTATCGAGGGTGTGGGGAACTCGTTTTGAATGACACGCGGGCAAGTAAGAGCGATCAGTCTTATAATGATCGTTGTTGTTGTGGATGCTGTGGGTGCTGCTGTTGCTGATGCTGATGCTGGTTAAGCTGACGGTGGTGCTGTTGATGATGATGGTGAGCCTGGCGGTGTTGATGATGTCGAGAGTGATGAAGGTGGGGAGGATGAGGGCGATGACGAGGATGATGACGATGACGGCGGTGATGATGCGGTTGACGACGGCGAGGAGGCGGATAATTAGTGGGAGTCGTATGCGGATGCTGATATTGCACCTGATCATGATGTTGATGGTGCTGGTGGCGGTGAAGAGGAGGATTGTGCGAAATACGTGGGTTGTGAGGAGGATGCGGATGAGGATGAGGACGGGGACGAGAATGGTGAGGCGGAAGGGTAGGTTATGGTCTGGGAAGGCTGTATCAAATTACATCCGTCGTCCCGAGGCGGTGGGGGACAAAATGGACGAGTGAGAATAGCATGATGGTGGGCACGCGCATACTTACGATTATGGTTCCCAAGGTGGCCATGAGTATGATTAGTATGTGCACGTTTTTTCCTATATTATTCCTTATATACCATTATGACCAAGATCGTGAGGAGGAGGGAGAAGACACGGAGGAGGTGGAGGAGGACGATGAGGATTAAGGCCGTCAAATGTGAGCCCTTGCCGCCCCTTGGAGAATGAGTATGACCACTCAATACTATTACAAAGCACATCGCGATGAGGATGAGGATGGTGATCATGAGGAGAGAAGGAGGAGGAGGAGGAGGAGGAGGAGGAGGAGGAGGAGGAGGAGGAGGACGAGGACGAGGACGAGGACGAGGACGAGGATGAGGATGAGTAGAATAAGTAAGATGGAGGAGGAGGAGGAGGAGGAGGAGTGCCGCCACATGGCACGTGACGCTTGTCTTTTTGATGAGGAGGGGATACGGAGGAGCAGAAGGACGAACATAGTAAACCCAATAGTAATCAACGATGTTGAAATACAACATCCCTCGAAGATCCCCCTTCATTGGTCACTACAGGGGATCATTTCCACTGAGGCAATTGCCACGTTGGTGAACATCGTGAAGCGTGCCAACACACAATTCTCAGGACTTCAACGCCGCGGGTTAACCTGAGTGTTCCGTCTTGGCGATCCTGAATCGTGCCAGGACACCATTCGTGGGACTTCAACATCACGAATTAATGTAACCGCTGCGTCCTTACATCCGGAATCGTTCCAAAACATTGTTTCTGGTATGCTAACCATGAGATTCCGTGGGACTCTGTATTCATGTTCAAAACATATGTGTGCGCGGCGCTGAGGCGAGAGCCACATTTTGTAAACGAGCCGCCCTCAATCCGCGAAGCGCTTGACAATTTTAAGAACGAATGCGCGCGGCGCTAAGGCAGAAGCTACATTTTGGATACAGGCCTCCTTCAACCGGTGAAACTCCGACGGTGTTTGTCAGTCCACATCCGCATTTCGAAAACGGACCGAGAGCCACATTTTGAAAAGGAGCCGCCCTCCATCCGTGAAGCTCTTGCAGTTTTTGAGACGCATGTGCGCGGCACTTCGGCGAGAGCCACATGTTGAAAGCGACCCGCCCTCAATCCGTGAAACTTTTACTGCAAATTTTCAAACAGAATGTGCGCGGCATTTCGGCGAGAGCCACATTTTGAAAACGAGCCACCCTCAATCCGTGAAGCTCTGACGCATTTTTAGCATCAGGGTCATAAGTGGTGAGGCAGTCTCTGGCGACACGCGTGGCCCACCCTTGCGACCGGCCGCGGGGTGCGACAGGGAGGAGTTATCTATGAGGAAAAAGAATGGAGGAGGAGCAGGCAGACCTTGTCCTTGGCCTTGGGAGAGATAATATTCAGTGTCGTGCCGGGGTGTCTCTCCTCGTCTTCGTCCTCGTCTTCTTTCTTTTTTTCTTTTCACCCTCCCTTCTTGGAGCCTCCTGGGGGCCTTGTGGGATCCTCTTCGAGGTATCTTGAAGACCTTCCAGGAAATTCTTGGGGCATCTTGGGTGCGTCTTCGGGGATTATCGGGCCTCTTGAGGGCTTCTTGTGCCGTCTCAGGGCTCTTTTGAGCAGTCTGGCACTTTTGGAGTCCGTCTTGGGGCCATCTTGGTGGTCTTTACGGCCCTCCCTTGGGCCGTTGTGGATGCCTCATGGTCGATGTTGAAGGCCTCTTGCCTTCTTGGGGCTCTCTTTGATATCTGGAGGCGATATCAGAGGGACGTGAAGCCGCCTTGGGCTGACGGAAGCTCGACTTTCCGAGAACGTTAGCATCATTCAAATATTACGGCAAAGAAATCAGTGACTTTGACATCTTCGGGCCCTCGTGGATGTCCTCTTGGAGCTCTCTTGGGCCGTTTCGCGGGCCTTTTGGGCAGTCTTGGGGCCATCTTGAATCGTCTTGCCCTTTGTGGCCTGCCAGGGCCATCCTGGAAGCCATCTGGGGCATCTGCGCCGGGGCGCCCAGGGAGGTGCGGGAGGGAGTGGCGATGCACGCGCGGGAGCGCAAGGAGAGGGTGGGGAGTCACTGAGAAGACTTGCGCGACCCTGCTGGACAACACTTCCCATTCTAGCACGCCTCAACGCGCCAGGGGGCACGGTGGCGGAGCTGCCACCATCATGCCCGGCCGTGGCCAGGCACGGTTGTGGTGGTGTACCGCCGTCTTCTGCGGACATAGCGCCGCCAGGAGGCCCCCCGCCGCCCCCTTTGGGAGGCAAGGTGCCCCGCGCTCCTTCTGAGGGGCGGCGGGGGGAGGGGCGCTTCTGAGAATTGCTGCCCTCTCCCCTTGCTCTACTTCCCGTCCTGCGCGCCGCCAAACCTCCGCTCAGATCCAGTCGTCGCGGAAAAATCGCGATAGGCGGCTTCGCCCCGTCCAGGGCCCTGCCTGGGGGCCTATGCAGATCGATCCCCCCTATGGTGATACGGTGAGAAGCACCAGTCAGCGGCTTCATTGATCAGCGATCCGCCTGTGATCAGTGCAACTTTTGGGGGGAATATGTTCAGGGGACATGCGTGGACCTCCAACCGCCCCCACTGAACGCCGATCGGGCCCGACAGCCGACCTCGACCCAGGAGTGTGCGGGGTCGCTACTGTGGGCCTATCGCCGACTTATCGTCGAAGCATCGGCGACTCCAGCTAGATGATACCCACCCCCCTGAGCAGGTCCCCTGGTGGCTTTTGGGCCGTAACTCGGGCCTCTGGCGGCGGTTCAAGACGATCCGGGCAGCCCCAGACGCCCCTCGGAGGCGCAGACGCTGGAAGGCATCCCGAGGCTGGAACGCCGCCGAGACCTCACAGAGACGCCCGAAAACCTCGAACTTCGGAACCCGAGAGCCTCGGACCTGACAGTCCCCCGAGCCAGCCCCCCTTTGCAGTGACGCTGCCCCTCGCACGAGCCCGCCTCCAGGCCGAGCGGGAGCGGGCGCGCGCCCGCGCTGAGCTGCACGAGGCCGCGGCGGAGTCGCGCCAGGCGCGCCGCGCCGCCGAGGAGGCGCTCGGCGCCTGCCAGGCGGCGTCGGAGGCCGCGGCGGAGGGCCGCGCCTCCGCGAGGCGCGCGGCTCAGCGGGCGGCGGAGGACGATGGCGGAGGATGAGGAGGAGGAGGAGGAGGAGGAGGGGGAGGAGGAGGAGGAGGAGGAGGAGGAGGAGGAGGATGAGGAGGAGGAGGAGGACCGTGTACACCCAAGAGTCCCAACGATGGTGGGATAAACCCTCCAGGTTCCCTTTTCGTAGACCCCTACGAGGATTCATTCCCACTCAGGGAACTGGGAACTGCCTCGTTGGGAGACAGTCGTTTGAAGACCCTGAAGCTTATCGACCTCAGGATGGGTTGCATTCACAACGGCTAGACAGTCGGGCTTTTCGCGGGCACCAACACGGGAACCGACATGCAAGTCAACTATCTCACTGATGCTCACCGGTCCGGAAGACTACACGGGGCAGGCTGCTTCCCCGACTCAGCGGCTCGGCTTGCCCATCCCGACAAGGTCACCAACCCTGAGGCCCGCGAGCTCACCGCGGTTCGCCGACGTTCTGCACAACCACCACGTTCAACGTGCCGAAGAGTCGAATTCCTGACCATGCGCGCTGCCAATGCGGCGGCCCGCGCTGGGAAGCAGTCGCTGTGGGTCGTTGCCAACGGCGCCCCGAGCGCGCGCGACGACGATGTGCGGTCCGTGGAGGGGCTGACGCGGGCTAGGGGGCGGTGGCTGCTGTACCCCGAGAAGAAGACCGCTGGCATGCCTGGGCTGCTGCCGCTGTGCGCGGGGATGCCGGTGCAGTTCGCGGACGCGGTTAACTTCGAGTTCGGCGCGTGCAAGCGGGCGGCGGGCGTCGTGCATGGGCGGGCGTTGTGCGAGGCCGACGCGAGGATGGTGCGCGAAGTCCATGCGGAGGCAGAAGTCGTCCTGAGGGAGGTGCCCGTGGCTATGCGCGTGAAGTTGCACGGTCAAGCAAAGGTATTCTCGCCGGGCCTGCCGCTGGGCGTCTTCCCGTTGAAACCGAAGACGATGTCTTGGGGCAGGGGCGCGGGGGGCGGCGCGGCGGTGAAGCGCGCGGGGTTCACAGCGGCTCCTCATTTCGCATCGACGGCGCACGCAGTGACGGGGGCGACGCCCCCGACCGCCGTCGTTGACCTCCTGGGCGTGGCGCGGGCGCCGCGAGCAGACGACGTGCCGCCGAGCTACGTGGCCCTTAGCCGAGTTCGCACAGCGGATGACATTCTCATCGCGCAGGCTCTCCCCCCAGCGCTGTTCCGCATGGGGCACCAGCGCGGCCCGTGGTTGCTTAGTTCGATCGTCGATGGCTCGGTGACGATCGAAGATGCAGAGGCTAAGTGGGCAGAGAAGACAGCGCCGACGAGGAAGCGTCTCCTGGAGCTCGCGCTTCCGTGCGCGGCGTGCCGACAGAGCAAGGCGCTGGAGAGGTTCTGGGTGCCCGAGTGCAGCGCGTTGCCCCCCGCTGGGGCATGCGAAGGCCGCGCTGACGCCCGGCGCTCGGCGATGCTTCACCCACTGCTCCCAGCGGGCCCGAGCCCAGCCCTGCGCCGAAGGTGCCGCGGACGTGCAGAGGCCGGACCCTCTGGCCAGCGAGCTCCGTTGTTTTGAATGCGGCAGAGCCAGGCGCGTCTCCGAGTACGACAAGAAGATGTTGGGGCAGTTGCGCTCAGATGACGCCCTCGAGAGAGCGGCGTGCCCGGCGTGTCGCCCCGCGCAGCTGCGCCGGCCACCGTCGAAGATATGCGCGTAGTACACGTGCATCCAGTGCGGGGCAGGAAGGGCATGTGGCACTTTGACTTTGGCCGGCTGAATATGCATGGGGGGCCCGAGTGCGTTGTGTGCAAGGAGTGATTCGACCTGCGCGCGCGTCCTCCTTGCGGGATGTGCGGGGCGAGGCCAGAAAGGAATCTGCATTGCAGTCAGAGTAATTTCCAGTGTGAGGCCTGTGGGCTCCCGCGCTGCGACGTCTGCAAGGTAGCCCCGCGGCCGCGGAGCGCGAAGTACCTGGCAGCCAGCCGGCCGTCGTGGACGTGCCCGGCGCGCCGCCGGGTCGGTCAGTGCGTGGTCTGCGGGGCCCTGTCGCCAGACGTGGCAAAAAAATTGTCGGCGTTCTGCGACTTGGGGAGGGCCGAGGTGCACGTGCGACGCGTGCCTCTACCCGCCATGCGGCGCGCGCAAGAACGCGCCGCGGCCGCGCGAGCGCTGGTGGACAGCGCGCGCTACCCCGGATTGGAAATGCGCAGGTTGCGCGAAGGCGCGCGAGCGAGGGGCGAGGTGCGCGTAGTCAAAAGATATCAGTTCACTTGCCGCTATCATCAGGGACGTCGTCGTCATCGTGTCCAGTGGCGGGAAGAGGCCCTCCTGCGCCCCCGTCGCCTGCGCCATCCGCTTGGTGGCAGTTTTTGGAGGCAGTAAGGGCCGCCGCGCCCCCTCTCGAGAGCGCTTGGAGGCGAGGGCGCGACGAACAATCAAGAACCAATGAGTAAGTCAGGCTTGGCACCTGAATATCACAGGTTGGTGGCATCCGCAGGCGCTCGCGGGGGTCCTCGCGGGGCCCTCTTGAATTGTCTTTGGGGCCATTGGGGCCCTCATGCGGCCATTTGGGGCCGTCTTGGGGCCATCTTGGGCCGTCTTGGAGCCGCCCGGGGCCGCCCTGCAGCCATCTCGAGTCGTCTTGGCGCCCCTAGGCTCCGACGAGGGTCAAGAGGCCCACATTTTGTAATTTTCGATTGTTTCCGGTAGGTTTTCGCATTAGCGGGCGAGGCGGGTCGGCGCCGGGCCAGCGGCCCCCGGGGGGGGGGTTCTTTGCGATGTATACGAATTCTATGTTTTGCAAGTGTCCTTCCTTGACGCATCGTGGCTGGGCCCATGCGTCACGCGCCCGCCCTGTCGGACTGCCGCAGTCCAGTCGTCGTGGGGGCTTCCAGGAGCCTCTGGGTGGGTTACTTGGAGGCTCCTCGGATTCGTCATTTGATTTTGGATGGGTAGCGATCGCCATTTCCATGGGTACGTTTTCGGACGGTTCCGCAGAACTGGGCTAGAACCGCTCGCGCAGTGAGAATGCGCCATGAGCGCGCTGCCTCCCGCCATCGCAGCGAGGATTCCCGCGACGAGGTGCGGAAGACTCGCTCGTCGAGGTTCCAGCCCCGGGCTGACGGGGCGACGAGGGCGACGAGGGAGAACGCGAGGGAAATGACGTGGATGAGAATGAGGATGACGACGATGAGGAGGATGAGGAGGGCGATGAGGGAAGTGGCGGCCCCGTCTTCCCTCCCGGCGACGGCTCTACTCGGGGGCGCCGCCGTGGCCAACTTCCGCGCGAAAAAAAACAATCCAATGCAGACGTTGTGCGGCCTTTTGGGTGCTTCTGTGAGGCCTTCGGGGGGCTTCTTGGGCATTTCCTGAAGGCCTCTTGGGGGCGTCTTGGGGCCCCTTGGGGGCCTCTTTGGGGCCTCTTGGGGCCTCTTGGGGGCGGCTTGGGCCGTCTTGGGGCGCTCTTGCGCCGTGTCGCCCCTTCGGAGATTGTTACGGGGGCCTCCCGCGGCCGCCTTGAGGCTCTCTCGGGGTCCTTTTGGGCCGTCTTAGGGGCCTCTTGGGCAGTCTTGGAGGCCTTAGTGGGCCGTCTTTGGGCCCTGGCGGGCCGTCTTGGCGCCCATGCGGGGGCTTCTAGGGTTTTTTGTTTGTGCCATTTTGGAGGCTGTTTGGGCCGCCATTGGCTTCTCAGAGTCGAGGAAGGTGAGAGCGCCAAAATCTTTCCAAACCCATACGGGAATCAATGAGTCTGGCCTCCGAGCGCTCTTGGGGGTCGTCGTGGGGCCCTCTTGGGGCGTCTCGGGAGCTTTTTGGGCGCTCTTGGGGCCGTCTTGGGTCGTTTTGGGGCCGTTTTGGGGCTCTCGTGGGCCGCCTTGAGGCCATCTTGAGCCGTCTTGGCGCCCCTTGTGGGCTCCGAGGAGGGTCTGGAGGCGCAAATCAATGATTTCCATGGGTTTGTATCGGTTTTTGCATTTGTGCGCGAAAGGGTCGGCGACTCGGCGGCGGCCGTGGGGGGGATTAAAGGGGGGTTGCTTTGCAATCTATATTAGTGCAACGTTTGGCAATTACCCTTCCTTGACGCATCGTGGCTGGGCCCTTGCGTCGCGCGCCCGTCCTGTCGGACTGCCGAGGCGCTTCGCTGCGTCCGGGCGTGGATTCCTCTCGCTTCGCGGGGTGCGCGTCCGGAGCGCGTGCAGTCGCGTCGTCGCGGGGCCTCTTGGGGGATTCTTGGGGGCCTCCTGGGTGCCTCCTAGGAGTCTCTTATGGCCTCTTGGGGCTTTCTGTGGGGCCTTTCCCACCTCCTTCCTTTTCGTGCGCCCTCCCCATCTTCCCTTCCAGCGCCCGGCCTTAATCGTGGGCGCCGCAGTGGCCAACTTCCGCCTGGCTCGTGCTGCGCCGCAGTTCGCCCAGATGGGGGAAATAACATTGCATTCCAGTCGCTGTGTGGCCTTTGTTTTTTTTTGTGTGTGCCTTTTGGAGGCTTCTGGGGGAGTTTTTGGAGGCTTCCTGGGGCCTCTTGGGGGCGTCTTCGGCCGTCTTGGGGCGCATCTGCGCCGTTTCGCCCCCGCGGAGGCTGTCTTGGGGGCCTCTCGCGGCCGCATTGGGGCCCTCTTGGGGTCCTCTCGGGCCGTCTTCGCGGCTTCTGGGGCCGTCATGGGGGCTTCTTTGGGCCGTCTTGGGCTCATTTTGGGCCGTCTTGGGGCCCTCTTGGGGGCTTTCTGGGTTGTTGTGGGGCGATTATGGAAGCTGCTTCTGCCGTTATGGGTTTGTGATTTTTTTTATATATAAAAAAAAAAAAAAAAAAAAAAAAAAAAAAAAAAAAAAAAAAAAAAAAAAAAGCGCTAAACTATTGCAGCAACCAGGGGAAAGCAATGATTTCGGCTTCTGGAGGCGCAGTTGTGGGCGCTCTTGGGGCCCTCTTGGGCCGCCCTTGGGGCTTTGGGGGCCCTCTTGGGGGCAGTCTTGGGGGCCTCGTGGGCCCCCTTTGGGAATATCTTGGGCCGTCTTGGGGCCGTCTTGGGCCGTCTTGGGGCCATTCTGGGCCATTTTGAGGCCCGCTTGGAGTCCCCAGAGGCCCGGGAGGCCGAATTTTCCAATTTGTAGGTTTGGGGCCCCAGAAGGAGGGCCGATCATTTTGGTCCGTTCCTGCGGCGCGGCGCCCAAAGGGGGTAGGGGGGGCATAAGAATGTGACGCAGTGCGGTATGTGGCAATTTTGCAATCACTGGCTACATTGGATACCTTGCATCAAGGCGTTCGCCGAAAAACGCTGCCGGTCAGCGCGTCACCTCCGGGCGTGGATTCCTCTCGCTTCGCGGGGTGCACGTCCAGAGCACGTGCAGTCACGTCGTCGCGGGGCCTCTCGGGGGCCTCTTGGGGGCCTCCTGGAGGCCTCCTGGGAGTTTCTTGTGGCCTCTTGGGAACTTCTTTGGGGCCTTTCCCCCCTCCCTCCTTTTCATGCGCCCTCCCCATCTTCCGTTCCAGCGCCAGCTCTAATCATGGGCGCCGCAGTGACCAACTTCCACCTGGCTGGTGCTGCGCCGCAGTTCGCCCAGAGGGGGGGGGGCAAAAAGCATTGCACTCCAGTCGCTGCGTGGCCTTTGGGTTTTTTTTTTGGGTGCCTTTTGGAGGCTTCTGGGTGACTTCTTGGAGGCTTGTTGGGGCTTCTTGGGGCCTCTTGGGGGCGTCTTCGGCCGTCTTGGGGCGCTTCTGCGCCGTTTCGCCCCCGCTGAGGCTGTCTTGGGGGCTTCTCGCGGCCGCGTTGAGGCCCTCTTGGGGTCCTCTTGAGCCGTCTTCGCGGCTTCTTGGACCGTCTTGGGGGCCTCTTTGAGCCGTTTTGGGGCCCTCCTGGGCCGTCTTGGGGCCCTCTTGGGGGCTCTGTTGGGTTGTTTTGGGGCGATTCTGGAAACTGCTTCGGCCGTCGTGGATTTTTGAAAATCGAAGAAAAAAACGAGAACGCTGACATATTGCAGCAACCAGGGGGAAAACGCTTTCAGCACTATTGTCGGGGCCCACCCTAGGACAGGTAATCACTGACGGGGATGCACTTTTTGCTGCCGCTCAGGTGTTACCAAACAACACTCTTCTTGCACGTGTGTCTAGCCTGGCCCTTGCATCTGATGCAGGGGCCTCCAAAACTCCACTTCTCCTGTAACTGAAACTCGAATGCTTCAAATGGACTGGACTGCTGGGCTGGCTGGCTCAAGAACGCGAGGGGGGGGGGGGGGCGAGGGGGCGGGGGCAAGGAAAAAACAGAAAAAGGGTCAGGCTGCGATCGGCCACGCGGGAGGGGCGTGCTTGAGCATGCGAGGCGGCGGTGCTCTCTATGCTCCCTCCCCGTGCCCCAACGTGCTCACCGAAAACTACCATTCACGAGCTCATTAAACAACTTCAGCATTATTGTCGGGGCCCACCCTAGGACAGGTTATCACTGACGGGGATGCACTTTTTGCTGCCGCTCAGGTGTTACCAAACAACACTCTTCTTGCACGTGTGTCTAGCCTGGCCCTTGCATCTGATGCAGGGGCCTCCAAAACTCCACATCTCCTGAAACTGAAACTCGAATGCTCCAAATGGACTGGACTGCTGGGTTGGCTGGCTCAAGAGCGCTCACCACCACCCGCATCCGCGAGCGGCACCTCTCCAGTCGAAACCAGGCCAGTGCCATTCAACGAGTACCCGTCGCCCGTATTCGCTGTGCGGTCTGTCTCCAGGAGGCGCGGCTGCTCGCGCCTGCTGAAAGGGAAAAGAAACTGAAGGACCCGCGCCACTGCGCGGCGCGCACGTCGGACGAGCCTGCGAGCAGAACCTCCAGGGAGGCCGGGAGTGCCACGGAGCATCTCGGGGCCGAGATCTAGCTCAGGCGCGGGAAAGGACGAATCCGCCAAAACCTTGAGCTGCTCAGCCATGGCTGGTGCCTCGGCCGTCTCATCCATGCCGAGCAGCCCCCACGCTGGGTTCGCCCACTGCGGACGAAAGCGGATCGCGACCACCCTCCGGGCGATCCCGACGTGGCCGCTGGGAAGCCAGCGGACCCAAAAACTCACGGACTGGTAACTCTTAGGAGAACGGAAAGCACTGTGTGTGAATTCGCCTCTCGGCCTAGTGGCCGAAGAGAAGAGCAAAAGGCGTTCCAGTTCACCAGAAAACTCCGGCTCGAGCTGCAGCACCTGCTGGACCTCCGGCCCCTGGAGGAAGGCGGGCCAGTCGTCTTCATCCTCGACGAAGAACCTGCCGGTGCTGCCCAGCACCTGGACGTCCAGCAGGTCGACGCCGCGCCAAGCCGCCTCGACCAGGCCGATCGACCCATCCGTCGCTGCCGACGCGAGCTTCGCTGCGCTCGTGCTCACATTCGCTCCTGCAGTCACGATCCTTCCCGCCGCGGGTCCTACCTCCTTCGCCACGTCCGTCATGACGATGAGGCCCCTGGCGGCGTTGGGGAAGAGGCTGGCGGGGGGGATGCTCAGCACCATGGCGGCCAGCGCGAGCTTGCCCAGAAGAGGTCCTGACGGCGCGCACTTCATCACCCACTGTAGCTGGCCGCCCTTGCCCGCCTTAAGCGATTTGGCAAGAGGCTTGCCCGCTGCCGCCTGCATCTTCGCACTGACCATGGGCGTGGCTGGCGGCAGCGGCGGCGCCTCCGGGAACGGTGGCGGCGTGGCAGCTCCCCACGGCGGCACTGGAGGGTAGTGAGCTCCGCCCATGCCCAGGCCCCCTGGGGTCCGAGGAGGTGGCGCGTCCGCACGGTTCTGCGTCGGCGTGGCGGGCGCCCTCGCCGAGCTGGCTCCCGGGCTGCCCACCTCCAGCCACGAGCCCACCTCCGAGCCTGACTCCACGCCCTCGCCCTCGGCCTGCGCGGCCGCGCCCTTGCGGAGCGCGGCCTTGATGCTGGGCGTCCTGGACCCAACCATCGAAAGCTTGGCGGAACGTAGGGTACCAGTAGCGAGCAGCCCAGTCGAGGGCTGGCTGCAAACCTGCTGCACGTAGAGCTGTACCTACCTGTGACGCTTGAACCGCATCAATATAGATGCGCAGCGAGGAGTCGACCCTCCACCTTCCCATTTCCCTGATGGTCTCGAAATGGATCCCGAGGGCGGTCGACTCCGAAGCAAACCCGGCGCGGGGGCTGTGCGGCCCCCACCCGACGTCAAGGTTGAACGAGGCCTGCGCGGTCTTTATGAGGGTACGGTGCTGGGCCAGGGAGTGCGGGAAAAGTCGCTGGCCCTTGGGAGTATGACGACGAAGACTCCTGAGGCCCTCTGCGAGGCCCGGCTCCAGCTCCTCCAGGAATGACACAGACTGCGGGCGCTTGGCCTTCGTCATTGCCCTGATCCCCAGACCGATGACGACAGGCCCAGAGCCTCCAGGATAACCCCAGTCCTCCGGAAGGGTGACGTCGTCAGCCTCAACTCCAAGCATTTCACTCGGCCTGCCCTGGATCACGATGCCGAAACCCAGGCGCGGCACACCCCTGGCACAAAAATGAATACACATCCATGCACACACGTTGCTGATCATGGGGACGGTATGACGAGGTTGGCGAGCATAGTCCCAGCCCTTGAGGGCCGCCCTAACTCGACACAGCCTCCCCTTCATGCGCGGAAAGCGGAACTCCACCGCCGCGAGGAGCAGGGTGAACTTGGACTTAGTCTGGGCCCCCATCCCCACAGCCTCGGAGCCCCCAAACCTCTTGAAGTCCATGATAGCGTCATCCCACTGGTCAGGGGTGAACGGCTCCTCCCCTTCTCTGACGCACCACTTGACAGAAGGAACCACCGCCTCCTTATACTTGAGGACGGTAGAAGCAGAGACCCTCCCCTCCTCATGCACATTGATCACTTCTGGATCGTCCTGGCCTGCTGGGCGCCCTGGACCTGATCCTGCGGGGCGCCCTCTAACACCTCCCTCCATGTCCTACTGCGCGAAACCCAGTCAGCAGGCATCCGCCGCGTCTCGACCCAGGGCAGCAGCAGGCGTAGCTCTGCGGCAGCACATAGGGCGCATCGGCGGCGGAGAAGGAGGTTGAGCGGGCCCGCCGCGGACCCCCCCTTGGCAATGGCGTGCGAGCGAGGCATGTTGTCCTCGAAAGATATCACCTTACTCCTATAGAAACTTAGAACTAGCACCAACCTCTCCAGCGCCAGAACGACGGCCCTCATCTCCCCCACCGTGATGCGCTCCTCCCACCTCCACCGACTGGCAGCGACTGGGATTCAGGAACGAGCCGTATCCCAGATCTCTTTCGGAACCGAACTGACAGGGAGGTTGGGGTGCAACGAGCGGGGGGCCTTGTCGAGGACGCGCTTCTCCTGGCCCAGGCGAGCGAGAGCGTATCCAGGTCTAGCCCCGGCTTCCCAAAGCAGGCGGGCCTCGATGTCCGTCATCGCGGTGGCGACAATACCGTAGCCCCCGCAGTCTAGACCGTTCGACCCCTCAGCGTCCGTAGCCAGAACCACCTCCGAGATGGGGGCCCCCAGGTCCACGTAGAGCCCCATGAGCCCACACCTCATAACTCTCCATTCTCTCAGAGCACTGGGCCGCCATCTGCGGAGCCCTCGACGCCCAGGGAGCCCCTCGTTCTGCTTAGCAAACTGGAAGATATGTTGCGGCGCTGCGAGCCAATGTCGAGCCAGCAGCGCCGCCCAAACCCAGACTCCCAGTAGTGAAGATACGGCATCCAGAGACGCCCAGGTGCGACGTTCTAGGTAGAGCATGGTCTCGTACAGGGCCGCGGCCTTCGGAGCAGGTAACCTAAGTCGAGCAAGATGTTGCTGGATCTCATAACCTACAACCTTGTCCATCTCGTCTGTTTCACGGCGATCGGTAACTTTAAAACCCAGCTCCACTAGGTCGTCGGCAGCTCGATGCATGAAAACGTTCGAGGCCCCCCCGGAGCCCATGTGGCCCTGGCCATCCGTCATCACCAGGCCATCGTCAATATGGAGGTAAAAGCCCACATCACCTTTGTCCAAGACAGTGTTTTTCATCTTGACGCTAGTCTCGTTGAGTAGTGGAGCCTCCGCTCGTGCCGGGAACTGCTCGGCCTCGACCATTGCGAAAGCCTAGCAGCACGACGCGGGGGGGGAGCAACTGCGAGCGGATCTGACCTCTCTCTGCGCTTCCTGACGAAGCTCCGTATGAGGCACGAAGCCAGAAAGCGGCTGAAGGCCGTCGGGTACGTAGCCAAACGTGTGGTCGCGAAGTCTGGCCGGCCCCCCTTCCCCGCAATGCGCCCGATGCTCCTATGGTGTTGGTGTCTTCCATCACATCGACACTCTCCCTCCCGAAGCCCATCGGCCGTGCCCGACAGCGTGGTCGCCTTGCGAGCCAGGCCGCCGTGCATGCACTGATCAAGACTCACGCGCGCGGCCGACGTGCGCTCCTCCATGGCACACATCACCTCCGCGCTGTAAACTGAGGGGTAGGGATCCTCGCCCGGGTCCTCGGGATGCTCGTGGATGTGCACCCCTCCCTGGGCAGAAACTCCTTCGCAGAGAGACAGGAAATTCAAGGTCAAGAGATTCGACTCCTGGACTCGCCCTTTCTCAGCCTCCGTGAGCTCAGAGCCGGGGCGGCCCCAGACGTACTTGCCTCGAAAACGCAGCGGCCTCGGACCCCCAAGCAACTTGACGAAGCGGGCCCGAGACCACGTTGAGCAGGGAGGCCCTCCAACAATCCCATCAATATAACCCTGGGCCACCAAGCCCCACAACTTCTGGAAGGTCTCAGGAATGGCGAGGTCCCAGTTGGGGTCCAGCTCGAGGTCACACGAGAGCACCAATATCTCCAGGCCGTGCGCGGCCCCCAAGACGTGGAGCCACTCCTCCAGATCCCCTGGCCTCCTCGGGCCCGCAAACAGGCGCATGGCGCCAGCGACATTCTTCCCCGACGTCTTAACCTCTAGGACCTTCTGAACCCAACCGCCCACGGTGAACCCCTTACCTACGTCCTCGGACTTCTTAACTATGCTCTACTGGGCGCTCGTCGTTCTTACCCAAAAACTGGCCCTCCTCATTGACGTCGAAATCCTCCTCCGAGTAGCCCCGCCACAGGCCGCAGCTGCGAACAAGCGCGCGGCCCACACTGGTCATAGTAATATTCATCAGGATGTGGACGCTGTGCGAAACCCCCATGACTAGGCGTTTCCACATAGGGTAGATCCAGTCTCCAGGCCTGGCCCGCTCCCGGACGTCCCAGGGAAGAACAGCCCAGATCAGGCCGGCCCGGTTGGGGGGTACAGCTTGCCACGCCCACATCCACTCAGGTACCTCCACCGAGGTGAAACCATTGCTCTCGTCGAAGGCCGACGCGCTGACGAAATCGCTCGACGCGTGCACACTGGCAAGGGCTGCCCCGCCGTGGAGTCCGTGCTCCTCGCGAGGACGTACATCTTGAAACATATAGTTCGAGGCCACCATCATGATAATCTTACGCTGTTTAGCTGGGTCTTTCTTGGGCACCACTGAGAATCCTGCAATTGCTCGAACGTCCTCTCGAAACCCAAACTTTCCAGAGATTGGGGGCGATGTCCTGCCTCAGGAAATACCTAGCGTACTCCTCCTCAGATCCTCCAGCGAAGCCGTGCTGCTGCTCGAGCTCCCGAAAGATGGCCTGCGAACGGCCTCTGGGGTCGCCACTACTTGGGCCTCCTCGGAGTAGAAGGCCGCTTCCTCTGGACTCAGCGCGGACAACATGGGCGCCGCTCGGGGATCCAGGGGCTCATCTACAGCATCGGCTCGCAGGGTCTCATGCGCAGTCTTGCGCCTCTGGGCTCCTGTGTATGATAGAGCTGCCGATTTCACCAACTTCTCGATGGCTTGGGCGCCTGTCAGACCGCAGTCCCGGCGCGCCTCTCGAAGACGCACTGCCTCACGTAGAGCCAGTCGCTGAATTCGCTGATGGTGGGGGAGCATCTCCTTTAAACGATCTTGATCACGGCTCCTCCGTGCGAGCTCTCGGCAGTCTCCCCGACGCATGGCGTTCAGAGCCGACAAGTACTCGTTAGCCAAAGTCATCAGGGCGAACTTCTTGTGAAAACGCTGGCGGAGGCGGTTGGACGTGCTATGTGGCCGCCCAGGAGCCTCCACCAAAGGGATCGGGCACAAGTTGGCGCCAGGCGCCGTGTGCAGCAACTCGCGCAGCCCGAGGGTCTCGTCCAGCACCTGCCTCTGGACCCATCGGCCGCGCTCGCTGCCTCGGCTGGTAGCTGCTGTCCCAGCCGAGGCGACCCTCTGTCACTCAGCCTTCTTGGCCCCCCCTGGCGGGGGACCCTTCTTGGTCTTGTCCTTCTCGCCCTTGTCGCCCTTGCCGCCCCGCCGCCTCAGGTCGGCGGCCGCCCCCTCGTTCCTCTGGTGCTCTGCCTTGCTGTGGGCGGTGGCCGACTGCACCAGCCAGCTCGGCGCGACGTCGGTCTGGCTGCCTGGAGGTGATGCCCCCGGCATGTGGAGCGCCCCCGCGCGGTCGCCTGACCTGCTCTCACACATATGCGCCGCCGGGCGGCGGAGGGAGATCTCCATCGGATCGTTGGTACTCAGGAACTTCATGAGGTCATCCTCGGTCTTGCAGTCCCGCACGGCAAATTCCACGGTAGAAGCCAACGTCCATAGATCAGTCCACGCGGGCGAGGCGCGGCTCCCGCCGTATCGAGCCGACAACCAATCTTGTGTAGAAGTACATCCTTCAGCCCTCATCGCTCGATAGATCTCCGCGCCGGCCCTCTGCATGTCTGGCGGGAGGCTTGCTCCCCATCTCGTCTCCTGGCTGCCTCCTCCCGCCGTGGCCAAGCCTCCGAGGCCCAGCGGGTCGCCCGCCGTCCCGCCGAGGGCAGGCGCTGCACTGGAGGCCACGGCCTCCAGCCCTCGGGCCAGGTCGGTCACTCTCGGCACCGTGACGGTACCTGCACCCTAGCCGTGCCCGCGCAAGAGGTGCACCACGGACGTGTCGAGGCGGCCGCCCTGCTCGAGCCTCGCCACTGAGTCCCAGAACTTCGTGGCCCAGTAGGGGTCCGCGTGGGCGGTGGCGCTGGTTGTCATCAAGTAGTCTTTCATGAGGGAGGCGCCCGCCTTGCTGGTGGCTCCGACCTCGGTTGGACGATGGGCGGCCTCGCCTCCTCCCGCGGTCCCGGGCGCCCCCGCCCAGCCCGCCAAGTCGCCGAGGGCGCTGGCCCCCGCGGGCGCATAGCCGCTGGCGGCAGCGCCGCTGGCGCCGAGGGCGGGCGGAAGGGCGGGGGCTCCACCGGGAATCCCGAAGGGCACGGCGGCAGCCAGCCCCTCGGTCTCGCCGTCGGGTCCGCCTTCTCCATGGCCACCTCCTGCTGCCATGCCCGATGCCCGCATCAGCTCGCGCATCCGCTCGAGCTCGTCCTTGAGTGACTGCATGTCGCTGTCGGGCAGCGCGGGGCCTGTGCGGCGAGGTAGCCACGGCCGCGCCAAGCAGGACAGGGCGCTTAGGATCGTGATCATGCCGACTGCTGCCCCTCCGAGCGCCGTTCTCCACGTAGAGGCCCCTCGCGCCAGCATGAGGCTCAGGAATCTCACGCAGGCGAGCGCCCCGCTGGCTCTCATGCGAAAGCCCAGGGGCCAGGGTGAGGACGCCCCTGTCTCAGGGGCGGGCGTCATGGCCCGTGACGTCGGGCACAGTAAAGTAAAACGTGATCCCGCGTGCTTGAGCATGCGAGGCGGCGGTGCTCTCTATGCTCCCTCCCCATGCCCCAACGTGCTCACCGAAAACTACCATTCACGAGCTCATTAAACCATGATTTCGGCCTTTGGAGGCGCAGTTGTGGGCGCTCTTGGGGCCCTCTTGGGCCGTCCTTGGAGTTTTTGAGCCCTCTTGGGGCCGTCTTGTGGGCCTCGTGGGCCCCCGTTGGGAATATCTTGGGCCGTCTTGAGGCCGTCTTGGGCCGTCTTGGGGCCATCTTGGGCCCAAGAGGCCTAAGTTGTTGATTTGTCATCGGTTTTTGTAGGTTTTTAGGGCCCCAGAAAGGGGGCGACCATTTTGGTACGTCGGTGTGGCGCGGCTCCCAGGGGGGGGTAGGGGGGGAGACATAATAACGCAACACTATACAATATGTGGCAACTACGCAATCATTGGATACATATAGTACGTTGTATTACGGCGTTCGCCGAAAAGCGCTGCCGCTCAGCACGTCACCTCTGGACGTGGATTCCTCTCGCTTCGCGGTGTGCACGTCCGGAGCACGTACAGTCACGTCGTCGCGGGGCCTCTTGGGAGCCTTTTGGGGGCCTCCTGGAGGCCTCCTGGGAGTTTCTTTTGGCCTTTTGGGGGCTTTTGGGGGGGCTTTCCCCCCTCCCTCCTTTTCATACACCCTCCCCATCTTCCCTTCCATCGCCGGTTCCAATCATGGGCGCCGCAGTGACCAGCTTCCACCTGGCTGGCGCTGCGCCGCAGTTCGCCCAGAGGGGGAAAACAAAAACATTACACACCAGTCGCTGTGTGGCCTTTGGGGGCTTGTTGGAGGCCTTTTGGAGGCTTCTGGGGGACTTCTTGGAGGCTTGTTGGGGGCCCCTTGGGGCCTTTTGGGGGCGTCTTGGGCCGTCATGGGGCGCTTTTGCGCCTTTTCGCCCCCTCGGAGGCTGTTTTGGGGGCCTCTCGCGGCCGCATTGGAGCCCTCTTGTGGTCCTCTTGGGCCGTCTTCGCTGCCTCTTGGACCGTCTTAGGGGGCCTCTTTGGGTTGTTTTGGGGCCCTCTTGGGCCGTCTTGGGGCCCTCTTGGGGGCTTTTTGGGTTGTTCTGGGGCGATTCTGGAAGCTGCTTGGGCCGTCATGGATTTTTGAAAGCCGAAAAAAAACGAGAACGCTAAACTATTGCAAGGACCATCGGGAAATTAATGATTTCGGCCTCTGGAGGCGCAGTTATGGGAGCTCTTGGGCCCTGTTGGGCCGTCCTTGGAGCTTTTGGGGCTCTCTGGGGGCCGTCTTGGGGGCCTCATGGGCCCCCGTTGGGAATATCTTGGGCCGTCTTGGGCCGTCTTGGGGCCATCTTGGGCCATTGTGAGGCCCTCTTGGAGCCCCAAGAGCCCAAGAGGCCGAAATTGCTGATTTTTTCATTGGTTTCTGTCGGTTTTTAGGGCCCCAGAAGGGGGGGATCACTTTGGTCCGGCGGTGTGGCGTAGCTCCCAGGGGGGGGGGGTAGGGGGGATACATTTGTATGTAACACAATACAATATATTGCAAGTATGGAATCTTTGGATACATTGGATACGTTGCATTAAGGCGTTCGCCGAAAAACGCTGCCGCTCAGCACGTCACCTCCGGACGTGGATTCCTAGGCTTATGCCACACCGCCGACCCCTTTGTTTTTCTTGGGGGCTTCCTGAGGGTTCCTGGGGAAAGTGGGGGCGTCTTGGAGCCGAAGGTTGGAAGTGCCCGTTCCAGTTTGGGAGCCTCTGGGGCCGTCTTAGGGCGGTCTTGGAGGCATCTTGGAGGGTCTTCCGCGCTGCGAAGGTCGAATCATCGTATATCGAAGCCGACTTGGGGCTCCTTGGGGCCTCTTGGAGGCCTCTGGGGAGCCTCTTGGGGCCTCTGGGGGGCTTTTTGGGGGAGTCTGGGTGTCTTTTTGGAGCCTCTTGTGGGCCTCTAGGGGCGGACGGCTGGAATGTTAGTTTCGTGCCCCCCCTTTCGGGCCCCTCTTGGGGCCGTCTTGGAGCCCTTTTGGGTCGTTTTGGGCGCCTCTTGTGCCGTGTTGGGGGCTTTTTGGGAGCCAATGGGGCCGTCTTACGGCGGTCTTGGAGGCATCTTGGAAGGGCTCCCGCGCTGTGAAGGCTGAAAATTCGAAAATGCTAGAAATGCACGTGTTCCTAAGGGAATGTGACGATTTTGGCCTCTTGGAAGCCTCCTGGGAGGCCTGTTGAAACGTCTTGGCGGCCTCTTGGGCCGTCTTCGGGCCATGTTAGGAATCTTGGAACGATCTTTCGGCGTCTCGGGGCCCTCTTGGACTGTCTTGGGGGCCTTTTGGGCGGCGCCAGAAGCTGTCGTGGACCTCCAAAAGTAGCCTGGGAAGGGCCCGACCCCTCTCATGAGTTTTGGCCGGACGCCCCCCCCCCTCCAAATCGACCTGACCGGGCTCCGGGGGGGAGGGGTTTGGGGAGGGGGAAGCATCTCACACGCCGATGATCCCCAAGGGGTCGGCGGATTATGAATAAGCAAACGCATAGATGTATGTATTTGTGCATGTATTTGTACATGTATCCATACGCACATGTACATTCATGTGCAAGGCCATGTATGCATATGTAAATGTATATATATATATATATATATGTATGTAGATATGTATGTATATGCCGTTGTACATGATGTGTTGTGCATGTTCTGTGTACGTATCGGTCTATGTTTATGTATATGTAGGTACACGTAAAGTGTACATGTGTATTCATAGACATACATGCTTATGTTTTCCATGTGCATATGCATATGTATATGTATATGTGTATGTAGTTGTGTATATATGTGATTATTTGCATTAATGCATGTTTTGTATGTCTCCCTGCAGCTCCCAGGAGTTTCTGCGGACTCCCGCAGGGCTGCCCCGGACCCGTTGTGGGTTCCGTCAAGCCTTCCAATACGGCCTAGGAGACCCACGACAGGTGACCGATGCCCTCGAACTCTGCAGTGAAATCGCCAGCAGTCCTCTGTCCAGCACCGGTGGAGCACGTACCAAGAGGACCACGGGTTTATCACCAGGAGTCAAGCTGCCAGCCAGGCTGAACAGCCCGAGGGCATCCCAAAACAGTCCAAGAGGGGCTTGGAGACGCAAGGGGTCAAGACGGCCCAAGAGGCGCCTTGGAGGAATTGCGGGGGCCCCACGACTCGTCCAAAAGCGCCCGGAACAGCCGCAGCATTTAGCCGACATGGCGCCAAGAACGACGAAGAGGCATAGGAGAGGCTCCACCAAGGCCGTACGAGGGCATTCCAGATGCCCCGAGAGCAGCCAACAATCTGTTGTTTGCTTGTCTTACAGTTTTGACGGGTTGCATAATCTTTATCCTGCGTGGTCAAAGCGTCGACGACCGTCCCACCAGCTCCCAAGACGCCTCAAAAACGTTCCGAGATGGCACCAAGAGAAATTGGGATTTGGATACGCCCCGATAGTTTCCATAGGGGCCCAACACGGCCGATGATGGCCCATGTACGGTTAAAGAAACGCCAATACGGCTCAGAGGTACACAGGGTGGCCGCAGAGGGACCCAAGACTGCCCAATATTTGATCTAGGGCTTTGGCCCCTCCTCCCCCCAATACTAATGGGGTTTGCCCTCCCCCCCCCCCCTTGCCGGATGGGTACGTCCGTGAGCCTCGCGAAGGCCGCGCGAATGGGATCGGCCCCAACCCCTTGTGGGCGTGGTGTGGTGGAGGGTGGACGTCGTCGTCGTCTTCGTCGTCGTCGTCGTCGTCGTCTTCGTTGTCGTCAACGTCGTCGTCGTCCCCGCCATCCCATCGGGTGGGGGGCTTGAGCGCACCCCTCTGGATGAAACAGAAGGAGCGAGGAGCAACAGGGAACAACCAGAGGCAGAGTGAGGGACGACATGGGGGAGGCAAAAACCGGGGAGGGGGGAATTGAGATATAATGTGGCAGGTGAGATCCAAAGAGCGAACACGGACGGTGGAGATCCGTAGCAGGATGAGGCTGGCTGGAGGATCTAGCGAGCAGACAAAAAACGTTGGGTGACGCGGTAATGGAAGAGATGTAACGAGCCCGTGCGAACATTACGCGCAGCTGGCGTCAGCCTCACGAGGCGTCGTGACATAAGCCCACTGTGCCGTGTGACGCGCCCTGGCCTGTGCTAGAACCTCAGCGCGAGCGCGAAGCGCGCGGTGTTTTCCCAACCAGCCTGTGGTGTTGGGTCTTCGTTTTGAATCAGCAGTGCCCCGCGTCCTTTTCCTCCTCGCTCCCCGTCTACCTCATCCTTTTCATCAGCCCCTTTTCCATAGTCGTCGTTGTTGTCGTCGTCCTCATCATCCTCATCCTCATCCTCTTCCTCCTCCTCATCATCAACATCATCATCATAATGCGAGGGAGCGGTGGAGGCATCGGTGGAGGGAGACACGGAGGGCAAGCAAGGAAGGATCGAGGAGCAGGAGGAGAACGGAGGAAGAAGAGGAGGAGGAGGCGCAGGAGGAGGAGGAGGAGGAGGAGGAGGAGGAGGAGGAGGAGGAACAGCCGCATGGAGCAGGTGTAAACAGAGAGAGAGAGAGAGAACGGACGAGGGGGAGGAGTATGTCAAATCGTGAGCACGCCAATCTCGAACCGCTGCTTGCGACTCTTCTTCCCGCCGCTTTCCCACCCGAGGAGGTGGCCGCGGAATCTGCGCTGGCAAGACTCCCGCGGGCGCCACCCGCCAGCCCGCCGCCGTCGACGGGACCGCTCGCGGTGGACGAGCGGTACAGGCAGTCGGTGACAAAGTCCAAGCCCTGCCCCTGCCGCCCATCGATTTGGACCAGATGGGGTCACTGGAGGGGAGTCGCTGCTTCGTTCGCGCCCGCCCGCCAGTCCTGAACCCCCACGGGTGTCCTGGGGCCCCCCAGGATTTGGACCGGTAGGGGTACCGTTCGCACATGGGCTGTTCAGGCAGGGAGAGCGAACCTTTCCAATACCGCCAATCAACCACTCAGCTCTGGGCGCCGTGGCGTGACGGGCCTCTCTGCCCTCTTCGGGATCCAGGGAGCCTCGCGGGTCGGTCTGGCTCGAAGGGTCTCGCAGAACGATGGTCGGGAGCTCTAGTCGCGGCCTCCCGCGTCGTTCTGATTCTTGACGACGTCAGACCTCGAGGGGTCTCCGCAGGCCGGGTCGGGGCCCAGGTTTTGGTGGGCGTTGGCTCCCAGCTGGGCGGGGATGCTTTCCACTCATCGGGATCCAGGCCCAGGTGTCGGCCTGGTGGAGGTATGCGCCCAGACATCACCGTCGCAAAACGTGTTTTTGTCTCGTTGCCATTTTTTGTGTTGTTTTTAATGTGTGTTTGGTTGTTTAGTTCTCACGTCTAAAGAATAATTACTGTGAGTCTCACCTGCCCAGAGCACATTGCGTTTTTCATTTAAAGTGCTCCCCCTGGGGTTCGCACCCTCTTTTATTATCAGGGGAAGTCTTGGTCCTCAAACTGCGTCCCTTGCACCCGAGTTACAACATTATGAACAACAACAACAACAACAGCCACAATCATTTGACGACTGTTCGCTCTTATCTGCTCGCGTGCCGTTCAACGCGTATATCCCAAACCCTCGATACCCGCCCTCTTCGTCTTCGATCGTGCCCCCCTTGGGGGTATCTATCTTACGTGCAGCGTGTCTTTCATGCAGCCCCTACGGCAGGGGAAGAGAGGACGGATGGAGGAAAGGGACGAGAGGGAGAGAGGAGGATGGAATACGGGAGAGAGAGAGAGAGAAAGAGAGTAGCAGCAGGGGGGGGCTAGGAGCAGAAAGCACGTGGCAGAACCAGACGGAAAGATCGGGCGGGTAGACCTTGACAGGCGGGTCGGGAAAGCGGGCCCAGGCGGCCAGGTCGAGCAGGCGGGTTGCTGAAACGTGCGTTCTGAATGAATCGCGAGTCTCGAGCGATAGCGCGATTCCCAAGTCATTCCTGAGACAAGGTAAAGCGACAGCGTGATTCCTGAGTATCGAGGGCGCGGCCTCTGATTAATTGCGAGGAAATCCCACGCGAGAGCGCGATTTCTGTATGCACTGTGCGGACGTCCCGCACGAGAGCGCGATGTTGGAATACATTGTGAGAAAGTATCAGGCGGGAGCCGTTGTTGTTGTAACTCGGGGGCCAGGGGCCCAATTCTGAGACCCACGATCTTCCCTGATATAAAACAGGGTGCGAGCCCCGTGGCGGGCACTCCAATTGAACAGTACAACAGTAGTGAGAGTTGAACGGCTCCCGCGTAACATTTCTTCACACTTAATTTTGAAATCGCTTTCGCGCGGGACTTCCTCATGAGTTCTGCAGGAATCGCATTCTCGGGTGGCTATTCCTTAGCATTCATTTGGCGCCGTGCCTTAACATGAATGTAGTTGAAATCTCGTTTAGGATATCTAATTCTTGTTGATACACCCTCCGGCGCACATGCATTCTGCCAATTGAAGTGCCCTTCCGTGGTTCGCACTTCGTTTTTCACCAGGGAATGTCTTGAGGGTCAAACCGGGCCCCTGGCCCTTCAGCTGCAACAGTAACGACTCCCGCTTGATACTTCCTCACAAGTTCTTTTGATATCGCGCTCCCGCGCGGGACTTCCTCACACTAGTGCAGGAAGCTCGCTCTCGCGTGGGTCTTCCTCGCAATGTATTCAGACGCCGCGCCTTCGACGCTCAGGAATCGCGTTATCCCTTTTGCCTTTCTCACGATTTATTGGGGAATCGAGCTATCGATCGAGACTTCTTCTCGATTCAAGCATGACCCACGCTTCAGCAACTCGCCTGCTCGACCTGGGCCTGCCTTCCGATCCGCCCGCTAGGGTTTGCCCGTTAGATCAGCTCGTTTTTGTTCCTGCCACGTGCTTCCCGCTCCTAGCCCCCCTCTGCTAAATTTCTCTCGTGCTCCATCGATCTCCCTGCCTATCCCATCCGTCCTGTCTTTCCCTGGTGTAGGAGCTGCGCGGGCTTAATCCACGTGGCTGGTAAGGACGATATACCCCCAACGGGGTACGATCGAAAACGAAGAAGGCCGGTTCCGAGGGTTTGGGATACACGTATTGACTGGCACTTGAGCAGATAGGATTGAACAGTCTTAAACGTATTGTTATTGTTGTTAATGAAGCAGACTCATTTCTAGAGAATAATTATTGCTGATCTCCGGAAGCGGTCTCGGGCTCTCAATTGTGGTTAATGTTGTTGTTGGTGTTGGTGTTGGTGTTGGTGTTGGTGTTGGTGTTGGTGTTGTTGTTGTTGTTGTTGTTGTTGAACATTATTAATTCTAAAGAATAATTATTGTTGGGGCCCCTGGTGCGCGCCCCCCCCGCCGCGCCTAGGCCGCAGCCACATTTTCATCATTTTCGCGAGGAAGTCTCAGGCAAAACGGGGTATACCAGATCCGGTTGTGTTGTTACGATCGGTTTTCCCTTGCAAAAAATAAGGCAAAGTGGACATTTCTTGTTCTAACATGACCAAACTTCAAGAATCCCTTGCAAAAAATGACACGAAGTGCACATTCGCGCGCGCAAGACGAAATCCTTCCAAAACCTTAGTTTTCGTAGCGATTTTAACATAAAAACATGAAAAACCCAATGGTTTTTCAAAAAAAAAGTTTCAAAATTCATCCCGCGCGCTCTTGCGGATTTCTTAGGAAACCCAATACTTTTTCAACATTTCTGTCAAACGGGCTCTTGCGAGCAACTTTTTCACGTGCTTCGAACTTCTGCAACAACGGTTGCGCGCCTGCCAGGGCCATCATCCCTGTCAAATAATACCATATGGGACACATTCGTTTTTTCTTCGCGCGCGCACGCCGAAATCTTCAAAAACCATTGGGTTTCTTAGGAATTTTAGCACCGCGCAACATAAAATCATACGAATCGCACCGTAGGTCCTCGAAAAACATCTGTACGAATTTTCAAAATTTCTACCCGCGCGCGCTGTCCGAATCCTAAAAAACCAATGGTTTTTCAACATTTATGTTACATGAGCTCGCGCGAGCTACTTTCGCAAGCTCTGTACCCATGCGCCAGTGTAGTACCCATGCGCCAGTGTAGTAGCCACGGTCGTCCGCAGGCCACGAAGTGAAGTGTCCGAACGTCATAGGGCGGGAAGCTGGGTGTGGGTGGTGGCGAAGAGTCGTTTGGAAATTTGGTAGAGCTTGAACCGGCCCCCCCACAAAGTGGGGGTATTGCCCGCCTCCTATGAAAACCCTGGCACTGGTGAGAACGGAGTGTCCCCACGTGCTAGTAATTGTTGTTGTTGTTGTTGTTGAACATTATTTATTCTAAAGAATAATTATTGTTGGGCCCCCTGGTGCGCGCCCCCCCTGCGCCGCCTAGGCCGCAGCTACATTTTCATCATTTTCGTGAGGAAGCCTCAGGTAAAACGATGTGATCCAGATCCGGTTGTTTTGTTGTAATCCGTTTTCCCTTGCAAAAAACACTATAAAATGACATTTCTTGTTCTAATATAATCAAATTTCAAGAATCCCTTGCAAAAAATAAGGTAAAGTGGACATTCGCGCGCGCAAGACGAAATCCTTCCAAAACCTTAGTGTTCGTAGCGATTTTAACATAAAAACATCAAAAAACCAATGGTTTTTCAAAAAAAATTGTCAAAATTCATCCCGCGCGCTCTTGCGGATTCGTAGGAAACCCAACACTTTTTAAACATTTCTGTCAAACGGGCTTTTGCGAGCAACTTTTTCGAACTTCTGCAACAACGGTTGCGCACCTGCCAGGGCCATCATCCCTGTCAAATAATACCATGCGGGACACATTCGTTTTTTCTTCGCGCGCGCACGCCGTCGTCGTCGGCCGCGGGGCCCTGAATAGTAGCCACGGTCGTCCGCATGCCACGAAGTGAAGTGTCCGAACGTCATAGGGCGGGAAGCTGGGTGTGGGTGGTGGCGAAGAGTCGTTTGGAAACTTGGTAGAGCTTGAACCGGCCCCCCCGCAAAGTGGGGGTATTGCCCGCCTCCTATGAAAACCCTGGCACTGGTGAGAACGGAGTGTCCCCAGTCTTAAATGATTGTTGTTGTTGTTGTTGTTGTTGTGGTTGGAGTCTTATTCCCAAAAGTAATTACGCTTGATAACCCCTGCCGGGTAACCATGGGCTTGTCCTACGGCTCGCACCCTGTTTCGAACAAGGGAAAGCAGAGTGCCACCAAATTGTGTCCCTGGCCCTGGTAAAAAAACAGAAACCTGCCGCTGGATATTTTTGTACAATTTATTCCCAAATCGTGCTCCTGCGCGGGACCTCCTCACAATAAATGCAGCAAGCGCGCTCTCGCGTGGAATTTCCCAGCATTTTTTCAGACGCCGCGCCTTCGACGCTCATGAATCACGCTCTACCTTTTGCCTTTCTCACGATTTACTGAGGAATCGCGCTATCGCTCGAGACTATTTTCGCGGTTCATTCAGGACGCACGCTTCAGCAACCCGCCTGCTCGACCTGGCCGCCAGGGCCCGCGTTCCCGACCCGTCCGTTTGGCTCTAGCCCGCCCGATGGGTCCGCCTGGTTCTGCCAAGTGCTTCTTGCTTCGAGCCTCCCTCCTGCTAATCCCGTGCTTCATCCTTCTCCCGATTTCGCCCTCCCCCTTCCATCCGTTCCTTCGTCCCCTGTTTCAGGGGTTGCGCCAATTACGCGCGGCAGGTAAGGAAAATGTAGCCCCATGTGGGCACGATCGAAGACGAAGAAGTCGGGTACGGATATATATACATATACATATATATATATATATATATATATATATATATATATGTGTGTGTATCCGTATCCATTTTGGCTCAAGGCTGCCACGCTGGAGTGGCCCTTGAGTTGGGTTGTAAGTCTACACCTCAGCCCAGCTGCACCAGTGTGTGGCTTCGTTTTCTCGTACCTGCCAGGTCAGCTGACCTGCGATCATGCCGGCATGGAGCGCGCCCAACCGCGCGGGCGGTGGCGGCTATGGTGGCAGTGGCTCGGGTTCGGCGTCCTCGGGGAACTCGCACGAGTGGAAGAAGGACCCGTCCGGCCGCTGGCACTATATCGGGCCCGGCAATGCGCAGGGCAATCGGGGACACGACGCCTCCGTGCAGCAGCAATCGCGTACCTGGCAGTGCTCGCGCTGCCACTCCACCAACCACTCGCCGAAGGCCTGCCCCGTGTGCGGCCTCCGGCGCAGCTATGCTGCTGTCGCTGCTTCGGCCGATCCGGCGGCGTCCGCGCCTCCGCCGAAGCCGTCTACCCGCGCCCAGCTCGACCAGATCACCCAGTCGCTCCAGTCGACGCTGGCCGATGTCCAGGCGCGTGTCGCGGCTCCCCAGGCGGGTGCGCCTGCTGCCCCCCCGGATGCCGCGGCCCCGGCTTCCGCCCCGACGCGGCCCGAGCTTGTCAAGAGGCTCAAGCGCTACGAGGCCGCCCTCGAGATCTACAAGGACGACACGGCCGACCCAGAGCATGCGCGACTCACGCAGCAGATCTCCGATGTGAAGGCCGAGATCTCTGCCCTCAAGCCGCTTGGTGCGAAGCTGGATGGTGCCCGCCAGGCCCTCCAGCGTGCGTCGGCGCGGCGCGAGGAGGCCGACAAGGCCTTGGCTGCTGCCACGCTCCTCCGCGATACCGCCGAGGCGGAGGAGGCTTCGGCGAAGGAGGCGGTTGCTGCCCTGGAGTCCCAGGTCTCGCCCCTCGACAACACAGATCTCATGACGTCGATTCAGGCGCAGTTGCATCAGCTGATCGGCACGCTCAAGTCCGACCCCGGCGTCCATGCCACGCACATCGCGAATGCGGAGAAGCACGTCCACGACCTCTTTGCCGGCTTCCAGTCGGTTTTTCAGCATGCGAAGGACTACCACGCCCACCAGGAGAAGGTTGCGGGCCTTGCGGAGGGCCGCCCGCCCTACCGCCACGTTGGGAAGCATCCGCTCCCGACGTCGCTGCCCGAGCCCTCTGTCCCCTCGCACCGGGTCCGGCAGAATGGCAAACAGCCTCCCAAGGAGGTCCCGGACGATGTCTTCCGGCGTCCTCGCACTCGCCAGGCGCCTCGCCGCTCCCGGAGCCGCGGCCAGAGCGCGGACCTATGAGCCAGGCCGCTCACGCGGGGCTCCACTTCGCGCCGCCGCCGCGCCCTGGCGCCGGCGCCGCCGCGACTCCGACGCCGCCGCCGACGTCACCACGACAGCACGACGACGACGCCGTTACGACATCGATACCGCCGCCGCCGCCGTTACGACAGCTCGGCGCCGGCGCCGTTACGACACCGACACCGCCGCTGACGTCATTACGACAGCGCGACGCCGACGCCGTTACGACACCGACTCCGACGCCGCCGCCGACGTCACCACGGCAGCACGACGACGACGCCGTTACGACATCGATACTGCCGCCGCCGCCGTCACGACAACGCGACGCCGACGCCGTTACGACACCGACTCCGACGCCGCCGCCGACGTCACCACGACAGCACGGCGGCGACGACGACGCTGGGGCACTCTTGGCATTCAAGGTCGCTTCAGCGAACGTCAAGACGTTGGATCCTGCTGGTGTTCGTCGCGCCAAGAAGCTTGGCCTGAACACTAGTAGCAAGATGGAGTACCTGGACGGTGCTCTCGCCGCCGCTGGCTACAACATCACTGGCGTGCAAGAGTCTTGTGTGGGTGGCGACGTCACCCGGGAGCAAACCCAGTACGTCGTCTACACTTCTGGCGCCACGCCAGAGGGACACTTCGGAGTTGAATCTTGGATGGCGCGCTCCCTCGTTCTGGGTGCCCGTGTGCAGCCTCAGGCCATCTCTCCCCGACTATTGGTGGTGAGGTTTGATAGTTCACAGTGTTCTTTCACACATGTGGTTGCCCACGCACCTGTTCAACAAGCTTCTGATGCCGACAGGTCGGCCTTCTGGGACTCCCTCAAGGCCGCCTTGCATGCCATTCCGCCTGCACGCATGGTGTTTCTCTCCATCGATGGTAACGCCACGCTCGGCTCCATCCCGTCTTCGGCCATCCCGTTTCCAGACGGTGCGGCCGAGAACAACAACGGCAGGTGTTTGCGGGAAGCCATGGAGGAGGCCGTGTTGGTCCTGTCCTCAATGGCCACACCCGAGGTCCTCCCAACGTGGTTCGGAGGTTTCGTGCAGCACGAGGGCCGTCGTAACGACTACGTGGCCGCTTCCATGGACGTTGCTGACCACTTCGTCCAGGCGGGCGTCGACCACAGCGTGCATCTCAGCGGCAAGGACTCGATCGACCACTTGCTCACTTACGCCGAGTTCATTGTGCCCTGCCCTGCAAGGGGGGGGGAAGCAGTGCCACCATCCGGCTTCAGCCCGGCTGAGCCGTTCTTTGATAGCCGACCCTGAGCGCCAACTTCGTTTCCAGCGGTACCTCTGGGAACGTCTTGCTCGTGTTCCCGCTGGCCCAGCGGATCCCGAAGCTCTCCACGACCGGGTCGTGGCCCTCATGCGCGACGCCCAAGACACCTGCTTCTCCGTCAGTGCCGCTCCCGATGAGCCACGGCGACCTTGGACGTCTCCAACTACAGCGATGCTGGCCAGTGCGACACCTCCGTTGCGGACCGCGCTTCGCCGCGCTCGCCGGGCGCTCCGGCAGCAGACGCTCACGTGTCTATGGGCGTGGTGGTGCCGCGCTACACGTCGGGCTCCGCGGCCTTCTTCTTGGAGACGCTGTACGTGTTCTCACCCATGCCGGGCCCTCCCTGCCCCTGTTCCTGCGTCTAATCATCGAGGTTGCGAGTCCTTTCCTCGCCTCCGCCGTGCCGAAGCTGTTGCTACAGCCGCTATTCGTGCACATCGCAAGCAGGTCAAGCAGTCTATCTCCCAGGATTTCGACTTCTGGGCTGCTTCGATCGCCGTCGAAGCCGAGCAGGCCGCTGCTGTTCATGATTCTGGAGCTCTGCATGCACTCGCTCGTCGCCTACGCACTGGCCACGACCGACCTCATCGCGCGGTCAAGGACGCCAGTGGCAACCTTCTGACCGGCGACTTGGGCATCGACCAGCGGTGGACTGAGCACTGGTGCCAGCACCTCGCTGGCAGCACCCTCCCGTTCTCCGAGTTGTTGGTTGCCGACTCCGCCGAATCTGTTGCACCTGACGTTCCGCGTGCACCGCCGTTGTCGCTCGACTACGTCGAGCCCCTCCTTCGGGTTTCCAAGGGGCGCAAGGCCACTGGGCCTGATGGTGTGTGCCCTGCTGTATGGAAGGCAGGCGGTGAACCGGCCGCATTGCTCATGCAGGCTGTCCTCAACTCCACCCGCGCGCATTGCAAGGCCCCCGCTCTCATGAAGGGCGGCCGCATGCAGGATCTGTGGAAACGCAAGGGCGAGCGCACCGACACTGCGAACTGTCGCGGTCTCCTCATCCAGACCCACGCGGGCAAGGTGCACGGGGCCACGCTGAAGGACGCAATAAAACCTCACTACCCCCGCGCCGTCGCCGACACGCAGCGCGGTGCCATCGCAGGCCGCGGGGCCGCTGCCGCCGGGCTCACTGCCGAGCTGCACGCCGACATGTGCCGCTCCCGTCGGCAATGCTTCGTCCGTCTCTTCGTCGACCTGACCGCTGCCTTTGACACGATTTGTCGAGAGTTGGCGATGGTTCAACCTACTGACGACCCTGATCGTGTTCGTGCCGCGCTGAGTGGTGCGGCTTCCCCATGGCCGTGCAGGAGCAGGTGACCGAATTTATCCAGACGCATGGTGATCTTCTGCGCGCCGCCGGTGTTCCTGCTGACGCGGCTGCCCTGGTCGCCGAAATGCACGCGAACACGTGGCTCACCGTGCAGAAGGGCGTGATGAAACCGGGCGCCATGGTCGTTCGCACCACCGAGGGCGCGAGGCAGGGTTGCAAGATTGGGGCTTTAATTTTCAACGTGATTTACGAGTATGCTCTGAAGAAGGTCCGACAGCGGGCTCGCGATGCCGGTCTCGTACTTCTCGTCGAAGCTGCTGCAGGCCAGTGCCCTTGGCGCATCTCTCCTGAAGCCCTCCCAGCGAGTCCGACCGCTGCGCCCTACCCGGGCGTTTCTGCGGACCTCTTCGACATCGCATTCGTGGATGACGTCCTCTTCATGTTGATGTGTGCCAGCCCTGCTCTGGCCTCCATGCAGGCCAGCATGCTGCTAGAGATCGTCATCGACGCATTCGCCGAGTGCGGCCTCCAGTGCAACCTGAAGGAGGGCAAAACGGAAGTCTCCTTGCACCTGGTAGGCAAAGAATCTCGCCGAGTGCGCTCCTCCCTGTATGACCCCGAGCTCAAGCGTCACATGCTGCGCACGCCGGACGCCTCCCGAGCAGTGGTTGTGACGAACCGCTACAAGCACGCGGGCGCAGTCCGCGCAGTGAACGGCTCCTACGTCGCCGATGCGCGTGCTAAGGCCACTTCCTGTTTGCAGGCCTTTTACCCTCTGGCGCACCGCGTCTACGGCAACTACGACATAGATCTGCGCACGAGGCTCTCCCTCGCAGATTCGCTCTGCTTCTCGAAGCTGCGGTTCGGCACCGAGACATGGCTGAACCCTTCTCCCGACGCCGTTCGGCATCTTCACAGCGCTCGCATGCGCGTGCTTCGTCAGGTGGCCAACCGCTGCCGGTTCAAGCGGTCCGGACACGGCTTGGACCGGGAGGTGCTAAGGGAGTTGCACGTGCTGCCCGCGGACCTGATCCTCTTGCAGAAGCGATTAGTGGCTGCTGCTACCACTTACGCGCGTGGCCCCGCTATTTTACGTGCGCTCCGGCTGCAGCCGGGCACGAATGCTTCGGCAGCTCTGGCCGACGATCTGAGTTGGGCGCGGCAGGCTGCCACTGCCCTGCACGGCATGCCAGACCCATGCACCGAGCCTGGCCCTTGGCTCGCCCATTTTGCCGAGCCTTCTCAATTGAAGCGGGCTTTGCGTGACATGATGCCTGATTGCACGCGCCTCCATCCGCGAGTTTGCGCGCCCACTTACATCAATGTCCACGCAGACCCCGTGCCTGCTGAAGCTCCTTGGGTCTGCCCCGACTGCCCTCCCGAGCGGCGTCGGTGCTGCTCCACCCATAAAGGTTTGATGCCCCATGCCTACAAGATGCATGGGTATCGGACCCCGGCACGCCAGTATGTCGCAGGCTCGCAATGCCCAGTCTGCTTGAAGCGATTCGCTTCCCGTACTGCTGCCATTGAGCACCTCGGTCATCGCGCGCCGCGCTGCACAGCACGGATGTGTGAACTCACGCCTCTCACTGATCAACAATTGCTTGACATTGAAGGTTCTGGCCATACTCAGAAGCAGTCTGCCCACCAGCGGTAGGCTGTCTTCTCTGATCCCCTCACCTTTGTATAGCCAAGGTGTGTTTGATCTCTTTACGCACTTTCCCGATGCATCATCACAGCCGCTGCGCTCTCATGTTGCCAATGATATATATATATGTATGTATATATACACCTATACGACCACCCTTCGGGTGATAATGAGGTTCGGGGTGGGTGGGTGGGTGGAGGAACCAACGTCTCACTCAATCGGTCTCACTACCGATTTCACTATTGATCTCACTATCGGCCTCGCTCGATCGGGTTCACTCGATCGATCCCACAATCGATCTCACTCGATCTATTTCACTCGATCGATCTCACAATCGATCTGGCTATCGATCTCACAATCGGTCCCACAATCGATCTCACCATCGATCTCACGATCGATTTCACATTCGGTCTCACAATCGATCTCACAATCAACGTCATCAGCATCATCAACATCATCGTCATCAACGTCATCAACATCAGCATCATCATAACCATCATCACCATCACCATCACCATCACCATCATCATCATCATCATCATCGGGACACCATCATCATCACCATCACCTCATCACCATCATCATTGAACATCATCATCGTCACCGTCATTATCATCATCATCATAATCATCATCATCGGGACACCATCATCTTCACCATCTTCATCAGCAACATCATCCTCATCTGGACCATCATCAGCAGCATCGGAACACCATCATCATCAGCAACTCATCATCATCATGAACAACACCATCAACATCATCATCATCATCGGGACACCAACATCATCAGCAACATCAACATCGCCACCACCATCACAATGATGATGCTGATGATGATGATCATCATCATCGGGACACCATCATCGTCGTCACCATCATCATCACCATCATCATCATCATACAGCGACTTGTCGGCATTTGTGGCAACACCGCGGCCGTATTCCCTCGCTCAAGTTCTAAAGGAAGGCAAGCATTCTTTGAGCGGGTCTGCGCCGACCTCACCAGTGCCCTCACCACTGCCATCATCGTTCGCGGCAGCTCGACGCCCTGCCCAGATTGCGTCTGCTCTCCTGCGCTGCACTGCCCAGCGCTGGAGTGCCGCTGCCCGACGGGCGGGGGGTCCCTGGCATCTGCTCAGCCCTCAGGCTTGTCAACCGAGTTCGTGGTCCTGCTGGCGGTGAGCGCCTTCGCGTACGGCATCGTCGTCGGCGGCTACTTCATCAAGAGCTCGCTGACGGCCCCCGTGGTGCAGCCTGCGCCCGCTCCAGCACCTCGGCAGGAGGTCGTGGACACTCTCGACCTCGCGACTGCGGCGGCTGCCCAGGCGAGGAAGTTCCGCCGCTAGGAGCGATGGCTGCTCGCGCCGCTGCGACGTTCGGTACAACGCCGGGGGGCCCGCCATCTATCACGAGAGACTCACTTTGCTGCCAGGGTACATCCTCACCCCTGACGATGACGACTATGCTGAGAGCGACTTGGCAGGTGGCGACTTGAGATCTGTGCATGACTCGGCGGGTCAGGGCGACACGATCGTCGGAGTCGCCGCCAACGACCTCTACAAGTTCAGGCGGCTGCCGTCGGCAGCCGTCGTCTGGGCTGCTGTGCGCCGCGGCGTTGCCCAGGGCCATGGGCCTCTGCCGCCGTCGCCCTTCAACCTCGAGCTCAGCGCCGACAACGTGCTGGGCGTGGCGGCGGGGGTGCTGGCCTTGCCCGACCCGCTCGGAGCGGCGCCCGCTGCCGCAGGGCCTGGTGCGCTGGCCTTGGCTGGCGCGGCCGCGCCCCGCGCGTGCGCCCCTGGGCCGCCTGCCGCGGCGGCCGCTGCGCCCGAGGGCGGGGTGGGCGCGCTGGCTGCGGCGCTCGGGGCGGGGGGGCCGCCCTCCCTGCCGCCGCTGGCCCTCCGGGCGTCGGCGCCGCCGCCGCGGCCCCCGCGGCCCCAGGCGTCGCGGGGCCTGATCCCCGCGTCTGGATGCTCGCGGGCTGCGGGACATGCCCTTCAGTGACGCTGTGAAGCGCCAGACCGAGACCCCCCGCGCCGATTGGCCCGTGAAGGGCCCGAGGACCACGACGCGGGTGCTCCACGGCATGCTCCGCATGGCTGGCGGGGCGATGGCGTGGCGCAACCGCTGGGTGGCCATGACGCAGGCGCTAGAGACGGACGACACCGCCAAGCTGCACGAGACGCTGCGCCGCGTCATCGAGACCACCCTCTGCCACGACCAGCTGATCATCTGCGAGCTGGTCTCCTACGAGTTTCTGTCGCGGCAGCTGCAGTTGGTGGAGGAGCGCTTCTTCGAGGAGCGCGCGCAGGACCCACCCTGCGCCCAAGGCCAAGGGCCAGGCCAAGGACGGCGCCGCGGCCGCGGCCGCCGACGTCTCCTCTGAGATCGGGCACTTCCTCGGCACTGGAGAGACGATGGGCAACTTGTGCATTTGCCCAGCCTTGATGGATTGGATCGCCGACCAAATGAAGAGGGAGGCAGCTGTTGCAAAGGGGCGCCGCAAGGCTCGCGAGGAGCGGGCATTGCGGCGTCCATGACGTTCCTGAAGGACGCTGGTCAGGGGGGGCCTCACGACGTGCAACCTGTTCGTGAGCCTGGCCAGCTTGGCCCCGAGCCCTTCGAGGCCCCGCCTGGCTTGGAGTTGCCCAGGCGAGGTGACCATCGCCAGCGTGACGTTTTTCCGCTTCCTCTTCTTCCAGTGGATGGGCGTCGCCATCTTCCGCTTGGTCGTGGGGCTCGCCTGCGCGCCGCCAAAGGCGCGGGCTGGAGAGAGTGGTGCAACGAGGGATTGTCTGCTCTCAACTGGCTCCACTGCGGCAAGGACGAGCCCCCCATGCCTGACGAAGGGGTGCCACCGCCTGCGGCCCAGGCAGCCTCAGTGGACTACATCGCGGGCTTGCACCGCGACTTCGAGCTGCCCGCCGCCTACTCGGAGAGAGGCCGCGATTGCGAAGCATCCCTCGTAGAGATGCTCGCGCAGGCACCTGGCTACGCTGGTGACAGCGGTCGAGCGCGCCCCTACAGCATGCCGCTTGTGGCCTGGCCCGAGTCGACGAAGGCAGTCTCCACCTGCGGCGTCGTCTCCGAGGCCGACTCCATCGTGCTGCAGGATTGGAGGCAGAGTATGTTGAATCCCGAGTCGGTGGCGGCGGAGCTGCGCGAATCGCTGGGGGTTATCCGCCCCTATGTGGATCCTGAGCTGCGCTTTAAGCCGAAGTCCTACGCTGAGTTTTTGAAGCAGCTGGAGGCCCACGAAATGATCACCTGGCGGGTCTCCAGCGAGCAGGCATCCTTCTCTACTGGTCTCTTCTTCGTGCAGAAATCAAACGGCAAGCTGAGGTTGGTGTTCGGCACCAGGCTGGCCAACTGCAGCTTCTCGTGCCCACCAGCCACTCGCCTGCCCACGCCCAGCGCGTGGGCCAGCCTTGACTGCGATGACAGTTTTCAGGTCGCGCAGGGCGACATTCAGTGTGCATTCTATCGTTTACGATTGCCAGCTGGCATGGAGTCTCTGTTCTCTTTGCCACCGATAAACAACAGATTCCTCGGCCTCAAGTCGGTCAACGGGGTTCGTCTTGGCATCAACGACTGTGTCCAGCCTCTTGTCACGGTCGTTCCCATGGGGTGGAGCTGGGCTCCCCACTTGTGCCAGAGTGCGCTGACGAGAGCCCTGTCGGATGTCGGGTTCGGCAGTGACGATATGATTTTGGATGGGGGCTGTCCTCGTCCCCTGGTGGCTGAGAAGGACGCGGTGTGTGCAGGATACGTTGACAACTTCTGTGTCGTTTCCAAGTGCGCGGAGACAGCCACGTCCCTTGCTCGTGCCGTTGCTGGCCTTCTCACGGCCCGCGGGTTGGCTGTCTTGGAATTCCCCCCTGCGGTCAGCAAGGGGGTCTTCACGGGCTTGGAGATCGACGGAGCCTCTGGGATCATTCGTGTTCGTCCTGGCCGCCTCGCTCGCACTCGTCAAGCCGTTCTCGGTATTTTGAAGCGTGGGCGGGCCTCTGCTGGGGCCCTCGGCGTGCTCGTAGGCCACTGTACTTGGGGGATGATCCTGAGGCGCGACGTTCTGAGCATCTTTAACGCGGCCTATCGGTTCATGGGGGCTGTGGGGCCTCGTCCTGGACCCCTGTGGCCCTCGGTCGTCAGGGAGTTGTCGGCTGCCGTGGCCCTCATCCCGCTCTGGAGTGCCTCTACAAGGTCTCGCTGGCATTCGCGGGTGCATGCTTCTGATGCGTCGCCGTTCGGGAAGGGTGTCTGTGTCAAGGAGGTCTCCCCCACGCTGTCGTCCGAGGTCGGCCGAGTCGCCGAACGCTGGAGATATCGTCATGGGGATGCTGTGCTTGCCAGATCACACGCCCTAGACGTCGACGGTCGTGACGAGGCTGCCGACGGTTGCCGTGCCGACGCATCGTCTACTGCCCCTACTGCTTCGTCGTCTGGGCTCAGTGGGTTCTTCGAGGTTCCTGAGTCCATCTACGGGGCCGAGGGTTGGGATACCATACACGCTAGCCGTCATGCCCGACGAGGCTGCGATATCCTTCAGTACGAGGCGGAGGCCC